CACCTAATAGGTTCATATAAAGTTAATTATTTTATGCATTGTTTACTAATAAAAATAATCCAAAAATTATATTTATTTATTTTAAAAAAATTATAATCCACACATTCTTAGTCAACAATAAATCAAAACATAATAACATCTTATAATCCAAAATCAAAAAATCAAAAGAAAGAAAATAAGATGAAAAATTACACTAAAATATATCTTAATTATTAATTATAATTTAAATCAAAACATAATAACATCTTATAATCCAAAATAAAAGATAAAAGATAAAAAAAAATCTACCAAGAATAAGTGTGACAAAGAAAATGATAAAGCTTAAAATGGTTCACTAAGGGGCAGAGAAATTGGTTTAATACTAATGCCCCTATCATATTAAAGCATCATAATCAAAATGTGTAGTCTCAACAAGCACCGAGTTACAAGTTCTAGAATGCAATCGATTAGTTCATCACACACAATTGAAACAAACAACAAGAATAAAAGATAAGCTCATTAAGCGTAAAACTCGGATGAAAGGTTCAATTACTAAGTCATGCATCCAATTCAATCAACGAATTCATGAAATTACCAAGAAAAATTTACATAAACTAGTCATCCATGCTATCTTCCATCCTAAATTCAACAAGAACAAGATTGAATTCGTAAAAAAACACAAAGAAATTAAATTAAACTATACGTACTAGGCAATGCACCCAATATCTCTAACGTGGTTAAATGGTTAAACCCCAAATTCCATTGTGTTTTAAATGTATGTAAACACTTACAAGAAAGGACACCAATACCAAGGACGTCAATCAGTTCGAATTTTGGTAAACCCACAAGCTACTGCAGTTCCAATGGGGTTGTGTTCATGGAACAAAATTTCCAAGGACAGGAAGTTGCACCTTACAAGGATGATCTTGAGTTGTTGACGCAAAATAGAGGCAACGCCATGCAACATCTTGCAAGGATGATCTTGAGTTGTTGGCGCAAAGCAGAGGTAACGTCGTGCAGCGATACAAAGAAGAAGGAAATTGCTGACGAGACTTGTTCTTGATTCTTGATCTGGCGTGAATTCCAAAAATAGAGTAAAATGGAGTGTTTGTTGAGAGAGAAAAGAAAGTAAAAGATTTTAATCTAAGTAAAATGAAGAAAGAAATTAAAAGATGAAAAGAATTCAATGTAATTAAATCATTCGCAGGCTTAAGCTTTGCCTCAATTCCAATCGATCATTGAATAGGATTTTAGCTTCGAATTCAAGTCAGTTACAGTCTACATGGCCCAATCCCTGCAACTTGTTTTATCCTCAATTGACCCGATCATCCAAAATCAATTTTTAGATATCAGTCCTTATGTGGACTAACTGCGACAATCGCTTGTTAATACTAACTCCGTTTTAGTTCTGGAAAAACCCGAATCAGATTGTACCGTCTCAATGAGAATCTAACCCGGTTTCAGTTTCTCTTAGCAGATCATAACTAAGTGTGTTCACAGGAAGTCGAATGTGCCACTGGCCAATCATTCCTTCCAACTATTAACCGAAACCGCTATTGATCCAACGAGCTCTTTTTGAAGTAAAGTGTTTTTTATTATAAAAGGATGATCGATTACCAATCCTTGATTTTAGAAAACTAAAAATGTAACTCGAAGGGTATGAGGTGCTTTTCAATTCTCACGTTAGGAATTAAATCATCGCTTTAGACTTTGGCTATAGAAATAATATACTTAAGGGTCATAGTTGCCCTATAGTAGACCAAATTTATCGATTTCTCCCCTATTGTATTTTAGCATCAACTTTGTCTTGTAGTTGTTTAATTACATTAATTTATACCTTTGACCGTGTTGACTAACAGAACCTATGAATGCCAACTGTTTCCACCTCAGATAATTTTACTGACGTGGCAATAACGAAAAAAATATTATTTTTTAAGTAAACAATTACGGGCAAAAATAAAAAAAAAAAACCCAATTTTTTTTATAATCCCTAAGAATACGAAGATAACAAACAAATTCTCAAAATCTATCTCCAACCCAAAAATACGATTGAATACTTTCCTGGGATTTTTGTTCATGCCCGTCTAATTACTTGTTCACTAAAAAAAATTATATTTTTTATTATCGCCACATCATCAAGTTGAAACGTCAGCAAAATTATCTGAGGTGGAAATAATTGGCGTCTATATCAGAAAAAAAAACAGTTCTGTTAGTCAACACGGTCAAAGGTATAAATTGATGTAATTAAACAACTTCGAGGGTAAAATTGATACGAAAATTTGATAGGACGAAATTAATAAATTTTGTATACTATAGGGGCAACTGTGACCCTTAAGCCAAGATAATATTTATACAAAAATTATATAATTTCTAAATTTAACATTATAATAAATTGTATAAAATACGTGGAAAAAATAGATTAACCTATAAAATTTTGTAAATTTATAATAATTTAAACATTCACAAAAATATTAGAATGTTAGATTTCCCGTTCTTCATAATTATATAAAACAAAGACTTAATACTAAAATAAGTGTCATCTATGCTTAAAATCTTGAATATGTGCCTAAACTATTTTTTTCACACATCCCGGAGCATAACGTACCCATTTAGGTACTTTAGTACTAATGGTCGTTAAAAAATTCCGTTAAACGACCCATGTCACAATCTTAAAATTTTATTTTTTTTTAAAAAAATAAAAATATCATTAAAAAATTAAAAGAAAAAAAGGTACCATTTTTTTAATCGGGATTTTAATGATGTGTGCAAATTAGTTATGGTATTAAAGAAGTTATTTAAAATTGGGACCAATTTTTTGGGATAGGGTTAAATTATGATAGGTAAATATCGGTGTAAAAACCCATTTAGCCCTTAATATTTGCAAATTTTATCAAGTTGGTCCTAATTTAAAAAAAAATCAATATATTTAACCCTCTGCATGTCAAAGCCATCCTTCAGAGATTCGAATATGTTGAGTCTTTGAAAAAATACCTTTCAAATACGTTTGTAACAAGAAATACATTTTGCATACGTGATCGAAAATAATAGTAATCTAAATTTTAATAAAAAAATGCTAAAATAAGCAATATTTTTTAGACGAAACAAATATTGAGTTACTCGAGATTCACTCGGTCAAAGTTCGATAAATACTCGAGCTCGAGTGTTCTTAACAAACAGAAACAAGCTACTTGATAATTGACTCGAAGAACTCGTGAGCTGCTCGAAAATATAATATATTAAGATTTTATTTAAAAAAAATATTAATAATATTAATATTTATGTGTTGATTTTTTTAATAATGTAGTGTAAGATTTTCATATATTTAAAATTAAGGTTCGAGTTTGAGTTTGATTTCAATCGAGTTTAATTTTAAAAAAAAAATTCATTTCAAGTTTTTTCGAACTTCAATTGAACATTTCGAATTCGAACCGAGTTTGAAAACCAAATGCCTTTTCTTTTGGTATTACGTGTAAAAGCTTCTTAACTAATACCTATTTCTTTTTACAAATTTAATACCTAACTTTTTTTAAGATAAATTATAAGATTTATATTTTTGTTTAAATTTTTGTATATGTTATCTTATATATTCTCGTTTAAATTTTGTATATGTTATCTCACTGAATTCTCAAAAACATAATAGTTGGTCATTTTTATTTTTATAAGATATAGTCACCGAAGATTGATTGCTATTAGACTTTTAACGGATTATTGACATGATACACTGAATATATATTTTTAACGGATTATTGACATGATACACTGAATGTATATTTTTAACGGATTATTGACATGAAACACTGAATATATATTAAAAAGGGTAAATTATATGATCACTGATATTTGAGTAAATTTTTTTGTTCTCACTTGAAATTTAAAAAATAACAAATTAATCAAGATCATTTTACAGTATATGTCCCATAATGATCCAAAGTCGCCACCATAGTCGAATTATATCTTTCGATCAACGAAAGCTTTCGGTTTCCAATTCTACGCTCTAAAAATGATTGCAAACTTGTAGTCAGAGAATCTAATAGAGGCTAGATAATGGTATAGCGGCCACTATAATGCAGTCGTGGCGACATCCGATACCATTATCGCGAAAAATAGCAGCGTACAACAGATTCACACCAATAGTGGGGGTTGCGGCCACAATTTAACGGATAGCGGACAATCAAGAGGATAATGTGCCGTTATTACGTTATTTTATCACTATTTAAAAAAAATTAATCAACTCATTTGAACGATTAATCCAATCAACATTCATCTCTTTTTTATCTTTCTTATACCCCTGGAGGTATTTAAACAGTTAATCCGATCAACAATCAAAACGAATTCTCTAAAATTGAATTTACCAAAAATCACGACACATATGTATGTTGGTCTTCAATCACTCAATGAATCTATGCTTAAAAGATTATATTTAAACACTTTAAAAAATTTCATATAAATATAATATGATATTTGAGAATATAATAGAAAAAACTTATCGACTTTGAGTTGTTAAAGATAGTTATTAAATTTGATCAAACTTATATCAATACAACAGTTATATTTGAGAAATATTTGAGATAAAAAATCGTCATTAATTATCGTAACAATATGAGTTTGATCAAAAAAAAAATCGAATAATAGTCAATATTGTGGTGAGAATGAATAATTTTGAAGACAATTTATAAAAATACAAGTATTGAAAGAAATGGTAGGTGGAGGGGCATGGTAAAGGAGCATAGGGATTTTGTCGCGGACTTGGTGAGAACATGCACGTGTTTATTTTAAAATTCGAATTTCTTCAATTAGTTATTTATCTTATTAATGATGTTAATCCTAAAATTTTTCGTATCCATCCTAAAATTTAAATTTTTTTCTGTTAGTTATTCAATTTACGAACAATACCCATTCTAAAATCTTATTTATATCCACTCATTTAAAAAATTTAAATTATTAATATATATATATATATATACCCATTCTAAAAAGTATGAAGGATATTTTTAGATCGTGCATGTGTATACATATATATCACATGGCTCTAGTCGTTGGGGGGAGAGAGCATGGATTTTTTTACAAGTTGCTTGCTTTGTCTGCTATTGACTTGGCTCCTTCTTCGAGCTTTCAACTCAGTCAGAAACGGAAGTAAATCAAGTGATGAAAGCAAGCTCCCACCTGGTCCAAGGCGGCTGCCAATCATCGGCAATATCTTCGATCTCGGCGATAAACCCCACAGGTCCTTGGCTAAACTTGCTCAGATCCATGGCCCCGTTATGAGTCTCAAACTCGGCAGTTTGTTCACCGTCGTCGTTTCATCGGAAGCCACGGCCAAAGAGATCCTCCAGAAACAGGACCTCATCTTCTGTAACCGGACCATCGTGGATGCTGTTCGAGCCAGCCAACACTCTGAACTCGGGCTGCCATGGATACCCGTGTCGCCGCTTTGGAGAACTCTTCGCAAGGTATGTATTACTCATATTTTCAGTAAGCAAAAACTAGACGGCAATCGATACCTACGTCGGGACAAGATTCAACAACTGATTACTAATGTTCGAAAAAGTTGTCTTAAAGGTGAAGTAGTTAACGTAGGCCAAGCTGCTTTCGATACTACGATTAATTTGCTGTCCAACACTATTTTCTCTATGGATTTGGTTGATCCAAACTCATCTATCGCTCGAGAGTTCAGGGAAACAATCAGGGGGATCATGATAGATGCAGGGAAGCCTAATTTGGCCGATTATTTCCCTTTGCTTCGAAAGATTGATCCTCATGGTATACGTCGTCGGGTGAGTGTTCATTTCGAGAAGGTACTTAATCTTTTCGATAAAATGTTCGACGAAAGACGGCAAGCAAGAAAATCTCAGGAATCTATTTCTACTCTATCGAACGATGTTTTGGATACCCTTCTCGACATTCTTGAAGGCGGATTCGAGGAGTTCAATAAAACTCATGTGTCCCATTTGTTATTGGTAATCTTTTTGTCTTTCTTTTTGTTTTGGTAAATGTTTGGTCTTTGGTTTAATCATGTCGTATGACAGGTTTTATTTGTCGCCGGAACTGATACAACATCGAGCACATTAGAGTGGGCAATGGCGGAACTACTTCAAAACCCACATGTTTTACTTAAAGCGAAGAAAGAGCTAGAACAAGCAATCGGCAAAGGAAATCCGGTCGAGGAATGTGACATTCATCGTTTACCATATTTGCAGGCGGTCATTAAGGAGACCTTTCGAATGCACCCGGCTGTCCCGCTGTTACTCCCTCGTCGAGCCGGCTCCGATGCCTATCTTTGCGAGTTCAAAGTTCCAGAGGGTTCACCAGTGTTGGTTAATGTTTGGGCCATCGGTAGAGATCCGAGCATTTGGGAGGACCCCAACAGGTTCACGCCGGAGAGGTTTTTGGGGTCCGAAATCGATGTCAAAGGTAACGATTTCGGACTCATCCCGTTCGGAGGCGGACGACGGATATGTCCGGGATTACCTCTGGCGAATAGGATGTTGCATTTGATGTTAGGGTCTCTTATAAACTCCTTTGATTGGGAACTTGAAGGTGGAATCTCACCAAATGAGATGAACATGGAAGAGAAATTTGGGATCTCACTTCAGATGGCACAACCTTTACGTGCAATCCCTCTTCTTGTTTATAAATAAAGATATTAGTCTTGATTATCACAATAAATGAAATAATATAATAAAATATAATTATTGTTATGTATGCGATCACATATGACGATTAATCATTGGTATTTGATTTATTGACCGATTAATCCAGATAGTGTACTGCAGAGTCGAGGGCGACTCTCTCAACCCAATTTGCTCCATTCGCAAACGTATCTTAAATACATTTATTTATTTTTGTTTTGTCCTTCTAATTATAGAAAACTTTAGATATTGATTTTTATCGTTAAAAAAATAATAGAATTATTTTTATGATATTTTTATATTTTAATGATGATACGATATTATCTTATGATGAAACGTTAATATCACTATTAACTTTTAAACAACGAATGACAAGAATAAAATCAAAATTAAACGTTTAATATGATTTTGAAAAGAAATAGTTAGACGACCAAAATTGAATAAATGTGATAATTGAGGTCTTTATTTATGCAAAAAAAAAATCTCTATTGGAAGAGATTAACAAGAATTAATAATGTTTACGTTTCAGTGATCAAAACTTAATACAATAATACCATAAATAAAAAAAAACTTAAAATTTTAAATTTAATAGAAAAATATATAAATATTAAACAAAAATGATTAATCACATAATTTACCTTTAAATTAAAATGTGAAATAGAAATAAGCGACTTATAAATATATCTTAAATACATTTATTTATTTATTTTTGTTTACTCTGCTTTCTCTCAGTCTATTTTTTTTAATATTTTTTTTATCATTTTATCTTTGATTTTTTTAATTAAGGACGATATTAATTTTAATATTAATTATCGACCATCGAAGAATATTAGTTCTTTTTTCCTTATATTACCTCTTTAATTTTTTTTTCATTGAGTTTTTTTATTTTTTGAATAAGAATTTATGTTATTGTGACATGATTTTTCTATGCTCTTGTGATACGCGTTTCCTTTGCTCTTGTGACACGATTTCCGTAGTTTTCGATACGTTTTTCGCATACATTTGCGGCCGTTTTGGTTCTCGCAAAAAAACATCACGACATTTATTTACTTATTAGTTAGTCGGTGGTCACTTATAGTCATATCACCTCTTTTGGTAAAAGGTTGTTTGCCGATGTAATCAGAATTGTATAGCGAAACAGCCTGTCAGATTATTTGGTTCGCTCTCCACTCCTATATCACTTAGTCAAGCGTCTCATTCGACAGAAATAAAAATTTTGTACAAAGGCTATTGCATTTTAATATTGATCGTCATTTTCGATAGAATATTTTAATTTTCTTCGTGATTTTAGGTTTATCTTTACGATTATGTTGTCTTCCACTATAAGTATAAAATATCTTACACGGTTGCATTTGTCTTCTTACTATTTTTTTATTGATTAGGTAATGACTAATGGATTACATTTTGACCCACATATTAATAATGAGTAAATCAATTCTTATCCAATCCATAAACAATTAAGTCCCTCTATTTAATTTTTTTTTATCTTTTTTTGTCAAATGAGTCGTGAAATTATAAAAAAAAAAATCTATAATTAAATCACTCAATTGATCAATTGTAACAACTAAATCATTGTACCATTAAATCACAAATGAATATGGAATATTTTAATCATGAAAATTCTTCGTATCTAAAAAGTTACAATCAAGTCACTCAATTAATCGATTATAGCAATTAGGTCACGTGCAATAAAAACCTAATTGTATTGATCATAATGGCACTGATACTCCTAATATAACTCTTGCCTGTCTATCAAAAAGACAACTATCCATTGTGGATAAAACTTGAGAGTACATTGATCAATTTAATAATTTAACCATTTCTTCTTTACCAAGTCAGTATTCGACTGTGTGAATGACAAAATTTTAAATGGATGGATCAATTTGCTCAATACAAATTATGTAGGACAAGGTTGTTCATTTTCAAGTAAAGGGACAAAAACGAAACCCGCTATCTAATATAGGGACTTGTGTGGTACTTTAACCGATGATACTGTATTTGTCTTGGATTTTGATGCTCAATTATGAATTCTTGGGACTAATTACCAAAAAAAAATGAATCTTTATGATTTTTAAGAAAAAGAATATTCAGAAAAATAAAGGGGAAATTTTTGGGTTGTTAGTTCTAACCTCGAGAAAATGAAATGAAAAGAACCGTCGAATGGCTGATAAAAATATCGAAAATATGCCATAAAAACAAAGAGAGCGTGTCATAAATTATTAAAAAATGAAAGAAGAACAAAGATAACATATCAAAAAATAAAGAAAAAATACTGACGATCAACGATAAACACTAAGATTAGTAGTCAATGTTATTCTTGATGAAACAAACTTTCTCTTGTGAAAAACAACAGATCTTGCTCACGATTCGTAGTCATCGTCCTGAGCGTTTGTTGAATGGATCCACGGTGCCTTCGCCTGAAACTGTCGTTGATGAGCACGGTGAATCTGTTTCAAATGCAGCTTTTGAGCAGTGATGAATCTACACTATAAGCTTCAATCGCTTAAAAAAGGTGATGATAATATGAGACTGTACCTTACTCATATGGAAGAAGTGTGTGATGCACTTGTATCTTGTGACAATCTGGTATCTTCGGTGAACAAATAGTCAGTATTTTGGAGTTAACATGGTCAGTAAATCTTTGTTGCCCTCAACTTCTCAAGTTTTACTATTAAATGATCTTTTACATGTATCTAAGGTAACAAAGAACCTGCTCTCAGTGTCTAAGTTTATTAGGTAATAAGAGTTTACGATTATCATCGTAAATTAAACACATAATTTGAATTTTTCCTATAATACTAAAACAAGCTACTTTAGATCGTATAAGGACTATACATGGAAAAGTTTAAAAACCCAACCAAGAGACTTGAACAAAAATAAATACGAATAAATCTGATTGCATCGGCAAACGAATAATAAAATGAAATTAAGTTATTGAAAGACTACCGAGAATTGCAGATCAGAGCCGAGCGTCGTGATAAACTATTCACAAACATAAAATCACGTATCCAAATTAAATCCAAATATATATAGTAGGGATGATCAACAAGATTTCGAATAAGGGTCATCTTGATTAGTTGTAACATCGTCAAATCCAACCCCGAGAAAACATAAATAAAATAACAGACAAACGACTGGGAAAAATCAAAAAAAAATCACAAAGACATAAATAAATGTGCCACAAAGACATATATAAACGTGCAACACATACAAAATTATTCTTATTAAAAAACAAAGAGAAAATAAAATTGACGGTCGACAACCAACATCAAAGTCGATGCTGCCGTCGGCTAAAGAAAATCAAAGAAGAAAAAATTGATATGATCTATGAAAAACAATACAAACTCAAAGAAAAAGGAAGAAAAAAAGAAAGACAAATGAGAGAGCGGGGTAAATTTTTATATTTTTATTATAGTTTAAGTTATTTTTTATATTTATATTATAGTTTAAGTTGATATTATATATATATATATAATATTAATAAATGTAAATATAACTTAAATACAATATTTTTAGTTTACAACATAATATATATAAAAGACATTTTATCTTTTTAAAATTATTTTTTAACCATAATTCTAAGTTAAATTTTAAATTTTACTTTTAAAATTACTTTTCTACAATATTTTAAAATTTATTTTTTTAAAAACAATATCATATGAAAGTTAAAATCACTTTTTGAAGTCAAAATTACTTTTCAAAAAGAAATACTAAACGTGGTTGTTGAAATAGATTCTTTAGACTTTATTCATATTCAACACCAATAAAATATTATTCTAATGTGTAATGAGGTAAGGGGTAAGGGGTCGGAACCCGTCGGATTCGGGTTGAGTTGTCATCCCTAGGGGTAAGGGGAGGTAGGGTAGTAGACTGTCCCAATGCTAGGGTTGAGAACAGTTTCCGTGGAAGACCTCCGACATTCAGCAAATTAAAGATAAAGATAAAATGCAATACATATATAAATAAATAAATGCATAGTTGAACAATCTTCATATGCAATCCTCATATGCACGTCTATAATGGGAAGTAATCATTGTAAATAAATCTCTGCATTAAAATATCGCATATAGACAGAAACGTAAGACCCGACTAAATTTAAAAAGAGAGAACCTGAAGAGAAGGATACACAATAGTCAACGGTAGCAAGCTACGAGAATGAATAAAGTCTAATGGGTTAAAAACCTAAACTAAGGCAACACTACTCCGCTACCATTGTTCTAAGCCTTCATAAATTCTTTAGATAGAAACGTATATAAAGTATAAGTCATGTAAATTATTACAAAGACATTAAAAAGAAGATAAAGATGTTACACCCTATGTCTGTTACCCGCACTACTCGGCTACACTGGATTTAAGTCTACATACTTTCCTATCAGAGGTCATGTCCTCGATAATGGTTAAATCCTTTAAATTAGCTCTCAAACAGTCTTCCCACTTCCGCCTTGGTCTTCTTTTCCTTCTGGCACCGTCGACTGTAATCGACTTTACCCTCCTGACAACATCTTTTTGGAGTTAAAATATAATTTTTAAGGTTAAAAGTGTTTTTAATTTAGTTAAAAATGAATTTTTAGAAAGCTGAAGCTTTTAGTTTTTAACTCTTTTAAAAGTATTTTTGAGTAAAAATATATATTTATCTTCATTTATTTCATAATTTCTTTCATACTTTTGAAAATAATATATAAAATAGACATTTATCCATTTAAAATTAGTTTTCAATTGTAATTTTAAATTTTAAATTTTAAATTAATCAATCTAACATGGCTGAATTGCTCCTATGGTATTGTGAAAAAATTTATTGGTTGAAATAGGGTCTCATCAGAATTATTTTCTGGTCTAGTGTGAATACTACAATACTCGTCGAAAGTCACCGGGAACACAATGCGACTTCGAAAAGTCACCCGAAAGTCGCACTACAGTCAGTGCGTCTCCCCCTCCCAAAATATATTCGAAGTCTACATTTGCAACCCCCTCTACATTTCAATTTAAGTGCATCTCTCCCCCCAATTCATTTAAAGTCGCATGGTA